GTTACTCTTCCTGTTTCTTCCTTCCTTACTCATTGGTCCATCCGCTTTGAGCCTTTCTTTTTTTTTCACTTCCCTTTTGTCAACTCGCGCTCTGTGGTCTAGTGGTCAGCGTTCTTGGCTACAGATCCAGAAGGCCCGGTTCGATTCGCGGCGCTACCAGATTTTTTCGGAGAAGTAGTGGGTCCGGAACGGGGTTTCAAGGAAATAACGGCTCCGGTCTAGAAAACCGAGATTAACGGCCTTGGGGATTCGTTACGCTGACCACGTGGCACCCTCTATCCGCAAAAGTTGTCATTAAGCTTCGTCGACAAGCGGCAGTCGCTTGGTCGGTATAGTTCGCTTGCGGACTAAAATCACGGAGTTTATGTTTAGAATTATGCTAATATCGAATTTGTAATATGCCGTATTTTATATGGTTTATTTAATCGTGTAAAGCTTCAATGGAATATATAAAATTCTAATTGTAATGTTACCTCGATATTCGAAGAAGGCAACGATTCCTGGAATTATTGTTGAAATCGTCGTCAGAACACAAAGTCCAACCAGAAAAGCTCGTATCCTCAGCATCCATTTTGAGGCAAGGCCTGGAATTTTGTATGAAATCCACACCTGACAAATGGAAACAGTATTAGATATCATAAACCATTATTAGAAACATGACAGGAAATTCAATGATTCAGTATTGAGGGGGTGGGTTTCCCCATGCACCGCGACTGATAGTCTATTGTACGCCCCATTTTTTAATTTCTACCGTCTCCATCCCCTACCGATACTGGTGCTCGCTATCAGTCCCTTTCTGCCAGCGAGGTTTCTACCCTCTACTTGGCAGCGGCATCTAATAGTTAGTCCCTTTCTGTCGGCGAGTTGCGGAGGTCGTCGAATTTTTAAGGGCGGAAAAAATCAGGGAACAAGTCCTCCGGGAGGGACTTTAAGCCGTGGGTCCCGTGTCGTAACTTTACGGCACGTAAAAGAACCTCATCCCAAAAGGGGATCACTGAGCCAAATTCCAGGACGTTTCCCGCCCAACAATAGCCTCTAAGGCCTCTGATAGATGGGGGAAGCATTATAGACACCGCTAAGCAAGTGGCCGAACTCGCTTGCTCGGCGGGACTGATGGTACGCACCATTTATCGGTAGGGTATAGAGACTGGTAGAATATCATAGAGGGAAGCACAATAGATCAAACTGGTCGCGGTGCATGGGGAAACCCACCCTCTCTAAATAACTAACTAACTAACTAGTTTCTCCTCTGGCAGTGGTACCTAATACTTTAGCCCCTTTCTGCCAGCAAGGTTTCTACCCTCTACTTGGCAGTGGTATCTAATAATTAGTCCCTTTTTTTCAGCGAGGTCGTCCCTCCTCTGGCAGTGGTACCTAATTCTTCCCCATCTATCGGACGCATTGGAAACTATTTGGGCGGGAAACTTTTGGCCTAATTTAGCTCAGAGGCCTCCTAGAGGCATGAGGTTCTTTTACGTGCCGTAAATCTACGAGACGGGACCCACTGCTTAAAGTCCCTCCCGGAGGACTTGTTCCCTGAATTTTTCCGCCCTTAAAAATTCCACGACCCCGCCGGGTTTGAACCCGCGTACCTTGAGTCATGAGGTGGTAACGCTACCCCTAGACTACGGAGCCCGCTATGACAGGAAATAAATAAGCACAGTATTTTTCTGCCGGATAAAACCTCAACTCGCAAATCTAACTGCTATTTGTTTCCTCTTCTAATAAAAAAGATATAATTGTTCTTCAGCTATCAAAGAGTAGCCTTTCTTGCCTATCCAAATTCAGAACTATAATTATATAATTAATGCCCAAAAGTAATCATCTTTCTTTCAGCCGTCTTACGAAGGGCAGCATCAGAAATAAAGTTCCAACTGACAATGTTGTCCTGGATGGGATGCACCCAGGGGTTATGAGTGACAAGAAGGACCTAATTTAGGGATAATTCTTTACCACTTTATCCATTAGAATTGGGCCATTACACAAAACTGAACTCGGTTCTTGGTTATGAAATCCTGGCGTCTGTCAACCACAGCACTACAAATTAGCTTTTTAGTTCGCTTAGTGGGGGGTGGAGTTCAACTGGGTCCACTTGGCACGGCGGCCCCTGATTGGCCTATTATAGCCTGCCCCGGGTGATTATGATGAAGGACAAAGTGGCGATGGGACAGGTTTTCTCCGAGTACTTCGGTTCCCCTGCCAATCTTCATTCCACCAATTGCTCCACAATCACCCTCACCTAACATCTGGGGCTGGTACAATAGGCCAGAAGTGGCCGCAGTTCAAGGGACTTAGTCCCACCCCACTAGCAATAAAAAAAATTCGTCACACCTTCGGTACACAACATTATGAAAGAAAACTCCTCTTTGTTAACAATATCTCGGGTATGGCGACTTTGGTACACATCATGTGTTAAAAACAATATCGTAACATTCTAATGATGAAGTAACGATGTAGTTACTGCCTGATGATGAAGTAACCTCGGGTATGTGTTACACACACTAAAAGTTCATTTATTTAATGAGAAGTTATTGCATATATGCTCACAGAACACTAAGCGGACATCGCGGACTTGAATGGTGACGTATTGTTGCGAAAAGGTCCTAAAAATAAGTTTTATGTCATTTCGTATCCACAAGATGGTGCTGAATAGCCATAACGATCCAACACCAAGAAGATAATACGTCAAATTCACAAAAAGATTTTTAAAGAACTTACCTGTAAGATAAAATATGTAGTTCCAGCTGCAAAGCACATAAAGGCTCCCAGCATGTGGACAACAATAACATTAGATTGCTGGAAGTTGGCCACTATATCAAGGCCAGCACAGGAAGCAAGGCCGAAAGCCAAAGTCACTTTATTGAATCTGTGGCTCACTCCGTCCCCCGGCGTAGGAGTTTGTATGTAGTTCTTTATTTCCAGGTATTTTATGTATACACAGACAACAACTAGAAGAGGAGACAAAATAAACATATGGTTACTTAAAATTACTACGTCCATTCGAAGTCTACCGGGCCGGTGAGAGAGCACAGGTGAACCAAGCGGTCAAGAGGACCGTTTTAGGGGCGGCACATTTTAAAAGATTTTTTCTTTCCTTTCTGTTTTATGAAACTGATTTCTTCCCATTTTTTAAGTAATAAGACACTAATGACGGATTTCATCCTACCTTTTTTTCCTTGGCACTACAACTCCAGTGGGCCCAGGCCTACCTCCATGAACTTCTCCGTTCACTTCGGTTTTTCTAGATCTTACATATTCGGTAGGATTCCTTGGGCGGGTGATCAGCTCGCCGAAAGGCCTCTACCTGTACATAAACACAGAAAAACGCACACAGACAAACTAAACATCCATGCCCTGAGTGGGATTCGAACCCATGATCCCGGTTTCCAAGCGAGCGAAGACAGTGCATGCCTTAGACCGCTCGGCTACCGTGACCGGCATTTCATCCTACTACCTGGAAGAAATTTTGAGAAAGTTGACTCAGCAGTTTGCTAATTTGGATATTAACAGGATTGTGTTCCATCTGTTTCACATTGTACTGAACTTACGCAGTGGAGTTACAAGCTAGAGTGTAAAATTGGAGCGACATATATATTTAGGATGGACGTATATTTAATTAATTATCACCACAATGAAGAATGTCTGTAAAAAATGTAAAAGTAAGTAAGTAAAGTAAAGGTATCCCTGCAACAGGCCGTGGAGGTTCCCACATTTTTCTAGACAGTCGGCTCACAGATGGCGGCAAGGTTGTCAGCCTTACGCCCCAGCTGCCCTTTACTCCCAAGAATATTCCTGGTACTCATTTCTGTTAGAGGCTGAGTCAACCCCTGGGCCATAGTGCGGCTGGAAGGATTAGGTAAATTGAAAAAAAAAATCCAATGTCCTCATCGGGAATTGAACCCGCGACCTTCCGGCTTGTAACATAGTGCCTCAATCAACTACGCTATCTCGTGCCCCCCGTAAAAAAAATGTGAAGATGATAATGATATATAAAATTCTTGTAATTATTAGCAAATTCAGAAAGTCTGTGTAAATCTTTGTATTTAAAATTAATGTATAGTATGGAATATGATAATATGATATAAACCAAAATGAAATTCTCGCGATATTTCTATGGACATCTTTCCAGCATTGTTGTAATCATACTTATGAACATATGAAAGCACTTTTTTTTTTCAGAAGTCTTCATATGTTGACCCTGAACTTTTTGTAGAAAACATTGCATTTGCAATAGATTCTGAAAATTACTCACTTAGGAAAGCTGCAAAGTTAATAACTTGTCCAAATATGCAACTCTCGGGCGAGAAACTCCCCGTTTCGCTTATATAAGGGAATCCAGGTTCAACATGGTTGTTATGGACTGCTATAGCATACCTGTTGACAGAAAAGTGATTCATTACTGTCCAAACTCCCTACATTGCAGAGTAATGGAATGAAACACAAATGCGTCCCAAGAGTTTCGTTTATTTACTCAGAAGATTCTATGAAAATTATGGCCTTCATGGAGCTCCAAAATGAATCATCGTCCATGATTTATTTCAACCGTTCAACGATTGAAATAAATCATGGACTTAAATCAGTGCAACAGGACGCTAAAATATAACATTATGAATCACCGTGTTAACAAAGCCCACCACTTGGCCCGATTCTGAAACAGGTGGATCCAGTCCACACCATCACATTCTGTTCCTTGAAGATCCGTGTTAACACCATTGCCCGAACTTCCCCTAGCTTTCCCCTGTTGTGTCTTCCGGTCTGGTTTTCCGCATTAAGTTTTGTATTCTCTCTACTCGTCCTGCATGTTCTGTATCTCTCATCCGCACTGGTTTTTGTGAATATTTCAAAATAAAGCTCTTTGTCAGAAGTTACGTACGAAATCTAAGGTAAAAGAAAGGTAAAGGTATCCCTGTAACAGGCCGTGGAGGCCTATAGGTTTGTGAGACGTCGAGGTTCTCAAATTTTCTAGAAAATCGGCTCACAGATGGTGGTGAGGTTGTCAGCCTTACGCAACTGCCGCCCTTTACCCCCAGGAAGATTCCTGGTACTCATTTCTCTCAGAGGCTGAGTCGACCCCAGGAACATAGTGCGGCTGGAAGGATTAGGTAAATTGAAAAGAACCACCTCATCGGGAAATCTAAGGACGTTTGTAATTTATTATATCCAACTGTGTTAATAGTTAATCCATTAATTATTAACATGACATAGAAAAAACTCACCTTAGAATTTCAACTTCCGTATACTCGTATCTCTAAGGTACGAAGCAAATTTCTTTCTGTCTTTGCCCAAAGTGCCGTATTTTTACATTGCATTAAGCAACACGTGTTTCGAGCAAGCTGTGACGCACGAGAATTACAGCCTCTTATGAGGACGACGTAATGAGGGCACACCCTATCACACCGGTAGATGACGTCACTTTAACTTAGGGACTTTCATTAGTCACTGTCTTGCCGAAATCTCTAACAGACGCGTAGCTCTATTTAGAAAAAAGAATCTGAGTTTTGCTGAACAGATCGTGGCCGCGCGATAGCTCAAGCGGTTAGTCGCTGGCTTCCCACCGCGGCGGCCCGTGTTCGATCCCGGGTCTGGTCAAGTGGGATTTGTGGCGAACAAAGTGGCGCTGGGGCGGGTATTCTACGAGTACTTCGGCTTCCCCTGCCAATCTTCATTCCACAAAATTCTCCATCATCATAATCACCGGGGGCAGGCTACAGTAGGCCACTCAATGGTCGCCGTGCCGAGTGGAACCACTTGGACTCCACACCCCCCCTAGCATCATGGTTCGGTTTTGACATGAATTCCAGAGGCCTTGTTTTGACTTTAGTCCGGTGTTAATTGTCTCGAGGATTTCGTGGTTTGAAGAGTACTGTACTCCGTTGAAAGTCGACCGAAGTTTCGGAGGAATATGTGGCCTCCATCTTCAGGGTCGAATTTCTAAATTGACTTATTCATGTATTTTGTGGGCTTATGAATCTTATCACAATTGTATTTAAGAGAGACCTGTATGGAAAGTGAAGCACTAAGAAAATAAGGAATATACATTTGAATTGCCACATTCGAAGACTGCTTGTTATATAGAACAGGTAGTTCTCTTTTGAAAATAATACTGGGAATCCTTGACTGGACTCAGGCAAGCAAAGGGACTCATACGAGGACTGCTAAAAGAGCGAAGGAACTGTTGAAGTTAAACAGGATCCAGCTACGATGGGTGGAGGGACTACTTACAGGACACTGTCACCTTAAAGGATACCTCTTCAAACTGGGACTAAGTATTAGACCCACTTGTGAGAGGTGTCAAGAAGAAAATGAAACAGCCACACATATCCTGTGTGAATGTGAGGCCTTAGCTTATTTAAGATTACGTCACTTGGGTCAATACTTTATGGAACCAAGTGACGTACAAAATCCTATGCTCTAAGGGGATAATCAAAAGGGGAAGCACAATAGACCACTGTAGGTCGCGGTGCTAGGGCCGAGAAGGCCTACCCCTTATACATTCATTCATTCATTCATTCGTATCTTTTGAAAGCTTAATCACTAGTTGAAATGATCATGGTTTCTATATGTTAACAAGAATAGTTATACTTACGAGACGAAGAATGAAACGGGCACTGCTACGAACACAATTAAAGGAAGCAAGTATATCCTCCTAAAGGCCATGATTATTCTGTGAACAAAGTAAATTCAATGTTCATTAACTGTAAATACTTGTTCGTGCAACGATTGTTCTCGAAATAAACGAACACAAACATCCTACGAATCAAAAACCTTACATACGATATTAAACCCTGTCAAATATTAATTTGCTACCTTGAAATCACAGCTTAATAAAGTAATTCTTAGCCAAACAACCTTTGATGGTACATATTACAAAGACATGAATTATATTCAAGAACAAAATGAGCTGTTTAAAGTTTCAACAAAAAACTAACAAAATAAATTTTACGTAGATTTTCTATATACTTTGCCAGTTATACGGGCTCAGACAAATAAGGTAAACCATTTCTAAAAAGCAGTAAATAGTTTTTATTCATTTAAACAATTTCTGCACAAGGTCACGAATTCTTTCTCTGTTCTTGAGTTATTAACAAATGAGAAATTCTAGGATGAACTAAGCGCCCACTTTCCTTTCGCTGTAATTTTAGTATCTGTTACGAAAAGAAGAAACAAAACTTCAGTATGTATGCGTAATGAAGCCAATAAAACAATAACGTCTGGAGGGAGGCTCCACTGAGTTGTCCTTAAATAGCATGATACACCTACCAAGTTTCATGAAAATAGATTCAGGTATTCAGCTAATATTAATGGCGTTACCTCAACAACTTCAGTGTTGGTATTACTGACGGAGGAATTTCTTAAATAAGCCGGTGAGGTGGCCTCACATTGCATGATATACATACATATCGAGTCTCACTAGGACTGGTTCAAGCATTCGAATAATATTGTGACATGCTGAGCTATGAGCCCTCCCCCACCCCCCGCCAGCCGTGATGCGCCGAGCGAAGCCGAAGCGAGCCGATGTTAGCCGAGTCCTAGGATCCTGGTCGCTAGGCAACGCGAGTCAACAGCGGTGACGTCACCAAGTAGTAACAGCGGTTACTTCCGCTAGCGTTACTAGCAACACAGCGCCAGGCAACAAGGGTGCCTATTACGTGGCCGTATTGTCCGATCGAGGCTACATAGGGAGCAGCGAAGGCTATTCACAGTTAGTTGTACTGAGTCAGTCAGCGAGTCCTGGAGCTACCTACGAGTCAGTCCTCGGGTTACCATCGAGTTAGTTCCGAGTTAGCCAGCAACCAGCCAGTTGTATTGTGGCATTTGGAGTGTACTATTTGTGATACTGCAGATAGCAGTAATCGTAAATCTGTAATTTGTGTGATTGTAAGTGCGAATGTGAAATAAAATTCGCTACATCAAATACATCGTGAAGTTATTTGTCGCGTTATACGCCCAACACGCGACAATATTAAGTGCGTTACTTCAAGAGCCTGATAGGCTATAGTTTTGGTATTACTGACGCGAGGGATTTATAGTGTTCATCATTGAGTTGGCCTCAGGTGGCATGATATACATATCAAGTTCCATGAAAATTGGTACCGACATTCAAGCAATATTAAGTTTATATATCGGAAATTTGATAGGCTGTAATGTTGGTATATTTGAACTCTGCCGTTGAAATGGACTCGGGTGACATGATATACGTACCAAGTTCCATGACGATCGGTTTAGACATTTAAATAACATTGCGGTTGTTATCGAAACAATTGTAGAATATGTAATGTTGGTATTATTGATTAAAGGGATTTATAAAGTACGCAGTTGAGATCGCTTCATGTGGCATGATATATGTATATATAATATTGTAACGTTGGCTGTGTGATGCGACACGAATAAATTGCGTGGGCTTTCGGATTGGAACGGATTCTTTTATTAGACGCTTATTTGTACACACACTCGTACAATTAGTCACTTAGAGCAATATTACACCGTTAGTACACTCTGGAACTCTTCTGCGAAGTCTGAGCTAGCGTCGAATTAAAAAATGTGGGTACAAAACTGTTGTGATACTTGTGATCTCAACTCTCTGAGTGTCTGATTCTGAGTCTCATTTCACGACCGACGGTCAGTAGGCCAGTCTCTCTTGGCATAAAGCACCCATCTGGGGCTTGCGACCAGATCTTTATTCCTGTTTGACAGTTATGGTCTTGTTTTTTGTGTGCCCCTCTCTGACGGGAGGACGGGTCTATCTTTTATATATGCTGCTGGTTCTTGCCAGCGCAGTCTTCCTCGAGTTCGAGTCCCTTGATACTCGAGACCATATTTTCCTGTCTCAAATTTGAGACTTCCCTTTTCGTCGCCTCCTCCTTATGTCTTTTTTTTTTTTTTAATTCGCTTAGTGGGGGGTGGAGACCAACTGGGTCCACTCGGCACGGCAGCCGCTGATTGGACACATCACAAGACACAGTACACACACACACAGACACAAATATATATATATAGGAAAAACGACTCCCATAGTGGAAGAACCATACAGTACGCGAGTTTGAATTAAAACGCATAAGATGAACAATCTTAACAAGTTTTAGTGTATACGTACAAATTTTATTATAGTTGATGAAGAATGCACATTTTAATAATTTTATGGAAGACACATGATGGCAAGCAATGCAATAGCTTAGCGTAAATAAGCACCTGAGGATGACACAATGTTGCCGAAATATGTAGTGAAGTGACATGTGAAACTGAGTGCACTACAAACGGCCATTACATACATATCACGACTGATTGGCCTGTTGTGGCCTGCCCCGGGTGATTATGATGATGGAGAATTTGGTGGAATGAAGATTGACAGAGGAAACCGAAGTAGTCTGAGAAAACCCGCCCCAGCGCCACTTTGTCCACCACAAATCCCACTTGACCAGACCCGGGATCGAACCCGGGCCGCCGCAGTGTGAAGCCAGCGACTAACCGCTTGAGCTATGGCGCGGTCTCGCCTCCTATTACTCGCAGGGTCACGGTGGAGGTAATCAATCCCTCCTCCACACGGGTGTGCTGTTCAGCGAAGGATATCACGTACTGTTAACAGGCGTGTTGCGCATACGTTGCTGTGATATGTATTTACCGGTCGGTTACCTAGCAATGCTGTGTCAGTTCACGTTACAATATTTTCACTGTTCCTTATAGTGAAGGGCGCCAGATTCTCTGAGCCCTGCACCTGGGTAAATGTATTGAGTAGCACCTCGAGAAAGAAGTAGTAGTCATGGAAACTCACTTCAGTTCGAAGCTTCATAAAATTGCCTTTCCAATCCCTGGCTAGTATACTTTAAAACTAGACCGCCTCTGTGTTCTAGTGGTCAGAGTTCAATTCCCGGAGCTACTAGATATTTTCTGAGAAGTAGCTGGTCTGGAATGGGCTCCACTCAGCCTCGTGATGATAATTGAGGAGCTATTTTAAGAAAATAGCGGCTACGGTCTAGAAAACCGAAATTAACGGCTGTGGAGATTCGTTGCGCTGCCCACGCTAAAAGTTGGCACTAACTTCGCCGACAAGCGGCGGTCTCTCGGTCGGTATAATTCGCTTGCGGACTATAGGTCACGGAGCTTTTTTTGTTAAATCTATTGTACCTGTTTTCAAGTGAGAGGAGAGAAGCATTTGGTGTCCTGAGCTAGAGAAAGAAAAGTTTCGAGAATATATTCAACTAAATTTTTTATCCATCCCTTTTCTTTATTTCCGTTTCTCCATTTCTTTATTCTCTTTTCATCTATGGCTTCATATTTAAACGCAAATTTTTCTTTCTTTCTCTTCCTCTTTGTGTGATTATTAATGTTGTTACTCTTATTATTATTCTACATAACAGGTCAAATGACAATGAGCTCGTATTTTGCATTATCCAGGTACTGAAATAATAATGGGATACAGTGAGACATTACGTCAGCTGTTCATAGACTTCTACTGTATTCCTCACGATCATTGAGTTGGTAAGTTTTCTCACAGATCTCGAAGTACTCATGAAATTTATATAGGCTGACTGAATTGTGATAGTGAAACCTGTGGTATATTCCTTATAGGTAAAGAAGATGTTCCGCCGTGCACCAGTGGCACGACTCAAGAGGGACGTCCTCAGGACGAACAAGACCCAGGAAAAGCATCGACCGCGGAAGGAACTGGCCGCTGAGAGAATCAGGATGAACCGCCGCGCAGAAGTGGCACGGCGTAGGAGAGACAGCCGTCAGGGTCACGACAGGGACAATGCTGCAGTAAGATGGCAGAAAAGACAAGCGCTCCAGAAGCGACGTCGAGCGCACCCGGAAGACAACAGAAGAATAAGGAGCCTAAACATCAAGAACCCCTTCCTAGAAGCATAACGACATTACACAATCCCATGGACAAGCTCTCGAGTCGGAAGGCTGAAGGGAACGATCTGGATTTCCAGTAGATTAAGAGCGGTGAGACACTGGACACTGTGGAGGGGTAGACGCCCTCCGAAACGAAGAAAAAAGAATGGAATAGCGCATAGTGAAGAAACCGGTAACCCAGAAGCACCGGCCTCCCCAGCTAGAACGAGTGAATGAGCGACGAATGAATGTGAGACGACAGAATCAACAACCACTGGACCATGGAAGTGCTCGGGGCGAGCACTCTCGAAGAAGGGGGGGCGGGTGGAAGGAAGTCGAACATCAAAATGAAAGAAGGGCGGAGGTACCGATCGGAAGATGAACACCTGAAGGAAGGGAAGTACCGTTAGGCTGTTCGGGGACGAACAACCTTTAGAAGGGAGCATTGTCACGTGTTTGGAATCAAGAAGAGTTACTTCCATGGAAAGGCAATAACAGTGGGCCGTTGCCTGGGAATGCCCTGAGCAACAAACACGTCCCCCAGATGAAAGGACAAGAGAGGGTTCGTTGCGATAACAGCGGATTATGGAAACCGCAGAGACGAACCCCTTCCTTGGGCCGCGCCATAGCTCAAGCGGTTAGTCGCTGGCTTCCCACCGCGGCGGCCCGGGGTCGATCCCGGGTCTGATCAAGTGGGATTTGTGGTGGACAAAGTGGCCCTGGGGCAGGTTTTCTCCGAGTGCTTCGGTTTCCCCTGCCAATCTTCATTCCACCAATTGCTCCACAATCACCCTCACCTATCATCTGGGGCTGGTACAATGGGCCAGAAGTAGCCGCAGTACAAGGGACTTAGTGCCACCCCACTAGCAATAGAACAAAATACATTGACTTACCTCTTACTGAACTACACCCTTGTAGACCCAGCGTTCGGATGGAATATCTTATCGATGGATTAATTTTATCCGTTGTTACGCAAAGAACAACCCGTTTCTTAGGAAACAGAACAATACAGAACACCTTGTAGTAGTGTTTGGTTTCATCCGTTGTTACGGCTATTCCTACGCAGCGGTCTGTTGGTATTCGATTCGTCGCTGTGGGAACTCAACAGTTTCCATGTATTCGTTGTCGCTGAAGTATGCGTCCCCATTGCAGCCGTTGCGCAGCAATGGACGTCATATAACATGTCACAATATATATATATATATATATATATATATATATATATATATAGGTACTTGGTCATGGACTTACGACCTATGCGACTTACGACCACAAAAAATGAAAAATTAAAGTTGATTAAAATGTAAAAGTTTTTAAAAAATAAATTATAAAGATGATAAAATGATTAGAGAGGTTAAAAAATACTTTTAATGAATATATGGCCGACGACCAGATCGATTTACGACCTGTCACTCAGAACGGAAGTCGGTATATATACTATATACCAAGTTTCATGACGGTTGCACAGATGTTCAAGCAATATTAATGTTTCACTTCAGAAAATTGAGAAACTGTGTTGGTATTGCTAATGGAAGGGATTTATGGGCTACACCGTTGAGATTCTATGATGTACATACAAAACTTCATATAGATTGGTTCAGGCATTCAAAAGTGAATAGGGAAATACATATACAGACACACAGACAGTAAGCTGATATCATAAGCCTACTTTTATTTATGATATATATATACAGTGGCCGTCTTGTAGTGCACTCAATTTCACCTGTCACTTCACAACATGTTTCGGCAACATAGTGCCATCATCAGGTGTCCCAATTACGTCAATCTATTGCATTGCTTGCCCTCATATGTTTTCACAACACCATTTAAAAAGTATTTAAAAAGTCCGTATTTGTCAACTATGATAAATTTACACTCGCTAAAACTTGTTAAGATAATTCATCTTATTTGTCTTAATTAAAACTTGCATGTGGTTCGTTCACTATGGGGTCGTTTTTCTTATTTTCTGTGTAAACCGTGTCTTGTGATGTGTGTTCCCTTCTTAGCTGCGAGTGTTGATTACACATCGTAAAGTTGTGTATACTGCACGATATATTGTCATGCATTCTCTTAAACGGTATTTTATTATTTGAATGTCAAATGTCTTGCCATGTACTTTAAGAGTATTGAGCAATAGAATTAGATTCTACATAGATTAATACAGTTTATGTCCTTATGGAATTTATTTAATAAACATTTTAATATATATTCTCATGTACTCACGTGTCTTCCACGTAGTCTCTTCTCTTTAGGATTTCAAACTAAAATTATATGCTTATCTCATCGTTCCCATGAGTGTTATATTACGATATATTCCGCCCATCTAATTTTCTTTTATTTTATTATTCTGGTAATGTTTGGTGGATATTCTGCCAGAATGAAATAAGATCAGTTATTGGACACATTTTCAGCTATTAATGAAACTGCTTCCATATTTATGAAATTATTTTATTACTGTACCTACATCTAACTTTTTGAAGGACGACGTTCATGCAAGTAATAACTCATTTGAAAGTTCAGTTCCCAACTCTTAGAAAACACTGTGTCACCACTACAAAGACCAGTGGTGAATGCTGTTTGGGGAAATCTGTTGTTCTGATATTCTCATCTAATCCATAAATAGATTGTGTGGAGAAAAAGCTCAGTTTTCAGATATTATATCAGGTGATACATAATCTGTCAGTGTGCTTTAAGGAATTAAATGCACATAATTTTATAAATATTATAATTTTATAAAAAATATCATGAAGGTTCAATGTACAAGTATAGGGCTTCGGTGTATCTTATGTCAAAGCAATCCATCATGTTATTATTGAACTTACGAATCTATATTTTAATCATAAAGCCAGTTTCTTCAAATTATGATATTTCTGAGGTAAAAAGTAAAAAAGTAAAGCTATCCCTGTAACACGCCGTGAAGGCCCATAGGGTTGTGAGACTTTGAGGGTCCCACATTATCTAGACAGTCGGCTCAAAGATGGCGGTAAGGTTGTCAGCCTTACGGGCCGGTCGTTCTTTACTCCCCAAGAAAATCATTTAATTAATTCCTGGCACTCATTTCTGTTAGAGGCTGAGTCGACCCCAGGGCCATAGTGTGGCTGGAAGGATTAGGTCAGTTGAAAAAATCCAATGACCTCATCGGGACTTGAACCCGTGACCTTCTGGCTTGTAGCATAACCCCTCAACCACTACGCTACCACGTGTTTCCTGCTCAAATATTGGCCGGAGCACCAACGACGCTGCCTGAAGTTTCTCGTGGTTTTCCACATCCCCTCTAGTCATATGCTTGGATAGTAGTACTTCATATTAAGCACGGCTATTTCTTTCTACATTAGTTCCTGTTCATCATTCGCTGTTCATCTTACCATCCGGCGCTAAAGAGTCTGAGCGACTGACAGCCTCGTTAAATTAAGTACCACTGCCTTATAAGTCTTGAAACATAGGAAAATGGATTATAATTATTCTTATCCTCCTTTTACAAAAACAATTTTCTGTGCGGTGTCTTGTGCCGGGTTTGTGCGACCGTGTGCGTCTGTCATCCTTTGACTCGTCCACGTGACAGGTCCTTTGACTCGTCCACGTGACAGGCCCGGTGGTTGGGATTATATGTAGAGTGAACGTAATTTATTCAGAGTGAATTTATTGTCTTCAGTATATTATGGCTGCAGTAGTAAAATCAGAGGTAAATAAATTTTAAACTGTGGAGTGTGTATGTTATTTCTTAAAGTATGTGTATTTTTGGTTAATACATAAGGTAGTTATGAAACCTAACCTATAAAACTTTCATAGCTCACAAGTGACGCTACAGTAATTGGAACGGCAGTTCATTAAAGTTACTTCATTTATATGAATCCAGCTCACCATATTTATTTCCTGTTTAATATTGTTTTGCCGTTTTACGACTAGGTTTTCCATATTCTTTTTCAAGTTTTGTGAGATCTGTTGGAATTCGAGGTTCTCACGGCGGCACTATGAAGATTACTGCCTTATGGGATATAATGTTGTGTAGTTTGGTTGTCAATGACAGTAATCATTTTATATGTGCTTCTCATCCATGCATGCTACTTGTCCCACCCACACTGCCCTTTATTCAAATCAGCATAATTTTTATGAAGAATACAAATTTTGATATTTATGCATTCTTTCTCCCGTGTTTTCCCATCATGTGGGTCCAGACACATTCAGTATTTTGGAAAGTATGTAATGTGATCAGCGTTCGTGGCTACAGATCCAGAGGTCCGGGTTCGATTCCCGGCGCTACCAGATTTTTTTTTTAGTAGTAGTGGGTCTGGAACGGGGTTCACTCAGCCTCGTGATGATAATTGAGGAGCAATTTCAAGAAAATAGCGGCTCCGGTCTAGAAAACCGAAATTAACGGCCGTGGGGAAACTCGTTGCGCAGACCACGCAACACCCCATATCCGCAAAAGTTGCCACTAAACTTCGCCGACAAGCGGCGGTCGCTCGGTCGGTATAGTTCGCTTGTGGACTAAAATCACGGAGTTTATAGTTTTAGTTTATGTAATGTATGTTCATCTCGTTTGGTAAGAGATTGAGTTCATACTGATATAAAATAAGTGATATGTGTGCATCTTTAGGAGTGGTTTTACATCCTTGAGGTTGAGTAGGCAGCTGACAGCCCCTTACCATCAAAAACTAACATGTTATGAAATTTCACAAAGGTCCTCAGGCTCTTCATATTTAGGAAAGTAAGTCTCTTTTCAGGAACATCCAAGGAATTTGATTCCTGAGTTATGTCGGCTTTTCTATAATCTTGGCTGGGTAACGGGAACAGGCGGAGGAATAAGTATAAAACATGAGTAAGTTATGCAGATATTTTGTTTAAATCTTTTAAGTATATAATGAGTGATAGAATGTGGGAGTAACAAAAATATGATGACTGACCATGTTCGAGCCTACCCAACTTCTTTCTTTTTAACTAATTTCTGACCATGTACAATGTGGCTTGAGGTACAGACTTCTACCCCACAGCAAAATGTGCTATATGTTGTGTCTGATCAGAATCTGAAACACAATATACATAAACATGAATTATAACTTAAATAAGAATTATAATTCATTACCTTCATTTTATCTACATGTAGTTGTAAGACAAGTAAAGTTCAATGTATCTAAATGTTCCAAAATGTTGGTGTAATTCACTTGTCAAAAACACATGAGCAGGCCTATTTCTCATCATGTGAATTTGTTTTATTATTATTATTTTACTGCAGTTGGGTATCCAATCGGTGGCAGTAGAACTTACACTGTACAGACAAGGAAAGTCTATAACATAAGGGAACAATACAATAGGGTAAACAAGGTACACACAGTGCAAATCCAAACATATAAAGTTATAAAAGGGCATGTGCTTGTGTTCGTTTCACTGCACTCGAACAAGGACACTTCACATTACTTCACTTGACTCATTCAACTCTGCTTAAGGCCTCTGTACTTGCAACAGCTTTCCTAACCCTCTTTCTAAAAGTGTTTAGTTTACAGGGGAAAGACGTTAGTATGCCTGCAGATAAACTGTTCCAATCCTTTATGGTCCTATTTACAAAGAAATATTTGCCAACATCTGTTCTTTGTTTCCTGCTTCTGACTTTCCAAATATGATCGTCCCTACTCAGGTAGCATGGATTAAGCGAGCTATCCCTTATTGCTTTCCATACCGGTCTCCTGGTGTATGCCTTGTAAAGGGCACACAGATGGGCTATCAATCTATACTGTGTCAAGAGTTTCCCAGTCAGATCCATCTGTAGGATTTGCAAATTTAGCCGCTCTTCTGTGTACCCAATTTAAAGCGCTAACCTGCCATTCTCTGTATGGGTCCCAAAATATCGAACCATATTCAAGTATCAGTCTCAGTAATGACATATAGGCTAGACGTTTCTTGTTATTATTGCCCTGGTTCAGTATACGCATTATTAAATGAAGACCCTTCCATGCTTTTCTTAGTGCATAGTTTACATGATCTGCCCATCTTAGATCACTCCATATGATTATTCCTAGATACTTAAAGGTATTTACCTCCAGAATTAGTTGGCCCCCAAAATAATACATTAGACGATCCTTCGCACTAGCTCTCGTGAAACTTTTTGCTTTACTCTTATTAGGATTTTTCTTCATTTCATTTACTACCGCCCATTCCCCTAATTTATTTAGATGCGTTTGCAACTTGCCAATGTCACAGCTATCCAGTATTTTCCTATATATTATGCAGTCATCTGTGAATAACTGTATATTTGAGTCAATGACCCTCGTTTGTCGTAATTGATTATTTATCACAAAAAAGTAGACATGTTGCTTTGGGTGAGTAAAACGGGATCCTAATCTGCAAGCTGTACAGGTCTTTCTGGTTTCAAAACCCCGTTAGTTCATGTGGAATATAAGGTGGAAAAGATAGAGGGAAACCCCCATTTAAGGTTTATATGGAAAGTGATGGTTTGAACACTAAAAAGTAAAAGTAAAGTAAAGGTATCCGTGTAACAGGCCGTGGAGGCCCATAGGGTTGTGAGATGTTGAGCATCCCACATTTTTTTAGGCAGTCCGCTCATAGATGGCATCAAGGTTGTCAGCCCTATGCACTGGCCGCCCTTTACCCCCAGGAATATTCCAGTAGTATTCCTTGTACTCATTTGTATTAGAGGCTGAGTCAACCCCAGGGCCATAGTACGGCTAGAAGGATTAGGTCAATTGAATAAAAATCCAGTTACCTCATTGGGACTTCAACCCGCGACCTTCTGGCTTGTAGCATAGTGCCTCAACCAACTATGCTACTGCATGCCCCGGTTTGAACACTAGACTGAGGAATATCTGAAATGAAGGAAGCTTATCACTGAGATTATTGATTGGTGATAATTTACATCTAATACAAAATTAAGCAAAACCTTGAATTCAGGAACAATAAATATTGGTGTCACTATAGTTAACAAGTTTTCTAACTTCTGAAATTTCCCCTGACATTCTTGCAGTCTGCATGAGTGATGCTACATAGCCACTGGACTTTATACAGCATCATGAAGTAACGTGAGAATTAGTTGCACATTGTGATCTTATAGATATTGAATGTTTATATGTATACTTATTTTAATCGTTATGTATGTCCTTTGGCAGAGGCAAAATATACATTGCTCCATCTGGTGTTCAGAAGGAACGTATATTACCAGAGGATCTGTTTGTACAGGACATGGATGGACAAGATTTAGAGCTTCCTCCGCCAGAGAAGAAGCTGAAGAAGAGTCAGTGTACGCCACTGTTTATGTGTGCTTACACAGGTAGGAAATAAGACTCCTCAGTTTTGTACATGCCACTATACTTCTTCCTGAAGAGCAAACTAGAACACATGTGAGAGGTTCCGTTGTGTATTACTGTAATATTTATAATACTGTGACAAAATGACTGACAAAGACAGTCATTGCTTCATAACCCATCGATAAACAAGCCTCCGCAACAGATAAACATGCAACAATAAAGGAACTGCTGGAAACAACATTTTCTATTTGGTCTAACCGAAGAGTTAGTTGTCATCAGTAGTAGTTGATGGCGGAGACAGTAAAATATAATCTTCAGTCCCACAGGACTGGGACCTGAGAATGACTGCACTGACGAGGGCCAGCAGCAGTTGTAAATGACAGATCCATCCTCTTGTTAGATAGGGCGCCCCACATCAACAGACCTGAAACTTTCTGACAGTAACAAAAATCTAGTTCGAGCCGCAGGTGGGGCTTGACACTGAGACAGACTGGCCATCTGTCTGACGGTCATAACATAAGTTTGACTTAGACCTTGTAGTTGATGGCCAGTGAGAACCAGTGAGCCATCAGTGATGTCTGGTTGTGCTACAAGAGTTGAGATTTGACAGGTAGAGTAATTAGTTAGTTGGGAGACAGTCGCCATGGAAGTAGAGGACATTGTTGGGATCTGTTACCAGGCAATGACAAGTGAAGACATAGCAGACTGAGAAGATTTAGTGTGTGCTGTAATGAGAAGTTGAGTGCATGAATTAGCAAGGGCACTATAATGTGGTAGCGTAGTTGGTTGAGGCACTATGCTACAAACTGGAAGGACGTGGGTTCAAATCCCAATGAAGGCATTGGATTTTTTCAGTTGACCTAATCCTTCCAGCTGCACTATGGCCCTGGGGTCGACTTAGCCTCTAACAGAAATGAGTACCAGGAATATTCTAGGGGGTAAAGGGCGGCCGGCAGGTAGGGCTGACAACCTTGCCACCATCTGTGAGCCGATTGTCTAGAACAGGCATGTCCAACGCGTCGATTGCGGGATGATTTTTGATCGATCTCATAGGCCTATAAGGAAATTATATGTGAAAAGCATGTAAATTGACTTGTAATATAATATGATTATATTCAGATTTTGAGGGGAAAATATGCATTAGTCATTCCTAATTTTCCGTTCTTAAGTAACTTACCTGAAAACTGCTTTACATTTGTGTTATGTGAACTGTGGGGAAGTCCCTATTCTATCCTTATCACGTGAACTCTTATTTTTACCGATAGTTTTGCTTAAAGCGAGGTACGATGATAGGAGCGGTGGTAGATCACTGGCAGTTTTGACACTAAAAAGTTGATCACAACCTGTTTGAAGTTGGACATGCCTGGTCTAGAAAATGTGGGAACCTCAACATCTCACAACCCTATGGGCCTCCACGGCCTGTTACAGGGATACCTTTTCTTACTTATGTATATTTTACTTACTATAATTACATGTAGTTACGGTTTGTAAGTGTTCAGTAAATCCAATTACCAATTCAAACCCTATGTCTGGTCACTAACACATGGCAGTATTTATGTCTACTTAATCAGGAGATATTCAAACACAATCAGAACTCTCTAAGATAAGGTAAATTGGCAGTACGTCCAACTGTAAGCCTTGGCCTTTGTGTGAAGTTATAGGCTCATTCTTACATACCCTTCAAGGCATGCGGTAGCAGTTGGTTGAGGCACTATGCTACAGGCCAGAAGGTCACGGGTTCGAGACCAGATGAGGCGGATGTTTTCAGTTTACCTAATCCTTCTATCCGCACTGTGGCCCTGGGGTTGACTCAGCCTCTGACAGAAATGAGTACAAGGAATCTTCCTGGGGGGTAAAGAGCAGCCGGCACATAAGGCTGACAGCCTTACTGCCATCTGTGAGGCAACTGTCTAGGAAATGTGGGCGTTCATGGCCCGTTGTAGGGATAAATTTACCTTTTTACCTTACTTAACCTTCGGCATTAGATGAAGGCAGTCATTAGCATCATGCCCCAGCCGGTTCACTTTCCGGGAGACAGCCACAGTGCCCATTGGGTAGGAAGATTGGCGAGCCCTAGGAACTGGTCCAGACATGGTGGTGAAGAGTAAATATGTACCCTCACTGGGAATCAACCCCATGTTCTCTAGTTATCCAGATTTATCTGGTTACCATACCAACTGAGCTGTCGAGCTGTTACAACATGTAAATAATGATATAAAACAACAAAGTAGTTCTCGTAAACATTAATCAAGCACTAATAGTGAAACCCAGTATGAACATCATACAGTAGCATACTTTGTGTCATAATGCTTTTTAACTTTTTGTCATGGTAGCTGTGCAGACTTATGATACAAGAACAGTCATTCAGTGTAGCCTTGAAATTTTGTGTAGTGATAGATGTTTAAAAGGTGGGCAGGTTAAGTTGTTAGGAAAATGGTAGCCATATAAAATTTTTGTGTGATAATTATAACTTGACATATGATGTTCTTTATAATGATTCAGTATACAGATAGGTTGAAACATATTAAAGCATACAAGGTCTTATCCTTCAGAATCCTGAATTTTGTCATGACAGTGGTGAGTGCTTTTGATGCTTGTTAACTAGGATAGTCTACACCAGTGTATTGTGAGCTGTGGTAGATACTAATTTCACCAACATATATTATTCATATATTTCTTCCTTCCTGCAGTGCAGTCCAGTTGATTATACAACTTTTGTTTAATACACCTTTTTGATATGCTGTAAATTGCTACAGTTTTGTCATGATTGGATATAATGTCTAATATTATACCTAAGTACAAACGGTCATAGTATCACCCCTTGAGTTTCATGCTGTGTTGGGTTTTGCATTTTGTTTGCAGCCCGTCAAGCTGGTGCAGTAATTCACACCCATTCTAAAGCAGCTGTCTTGGCAACATTACTATATCCTGGGAAAGAATTTAGAGTCACCCATTTGGAGATGATAAAGGTGAAACTGGAAGGCAGCATTGTAATCAGATATGTTATCATAAAAGTGAATAGCTAGGACAGTCTGGAAAAGCACCAATGGGCTATTATGATAACTGCATCACTGAGAGAATAATTCAGATCAGGGTTTCTATTAAAACTATAATAATTCTTAGTACCATGCCATTAACGCATGTAGTTGATATGGAGTTAAATCTTCACACATTCTTAATCTCAGTACCAGTCATATATTTATTTATACCTCAAGAAAGACAGCCTATCACTTATTGATTAGATATTAATAACTCTTGATTAGAAAGACAAAACTTATTAACTTCACAGTCATAATATTTGAGGCTAAGAATTTATTGTTGCTGTTGTTATTGTTATTATGTAGTTAATTTTTTTATGATAGCATATAGAGACAGTTCAGCCACCATATGAAATCCACAGTTCCTGTCACTGGGGAACACAAGTTCGATAAAAGTAGGTATAAATTTTTTTGTGTTGGCTACATTTTGGCAGTAGACCATGACTAGTATTGTCAGCTTTTGTAACGTATATCAATGAAATGAATAGTTTAAAACAGTGTTATATTTAAATAGTTTTATTGGGATTGCTTTTCAGTTAAGTTATCCTCAAACATTTCTTGATATTTCTATATGTATAATATAAACTCCATCGTAAATGTAACACTATTGTAGTTCTTGTCCCCCTTCTTTCACACTACATGTTTCGGCCATAATCGGCCATCATCAGGTGTATTTCACTTCGCATAGCTGTCACACTGCACTAAATATTAACATTTAAATTCCAGATTTCCAATTGTTCATTTTCTGTCGTCAGTAGGCACTTGATATTCCAAAACTCCCCTTGTCGATTTTGTCAATTGTGTTTTATGAATATTCACACGCCGATTGGTTTAAAATTTTTAAATTCTCATTTAGCTTTAATATATAAAATTTAAATTTAGATTTAAAAATCAAAATCACAGAGATACCTGCTCTATGCTTATATGTGCTGCAGTGGCTACCTCTTGCTTTCAGCACAAATCGCGTGTTATTTTGTGCACAAAATAACACTTGAATACTTGAATGGAAAAGTAGCAGCTCCCCTCTAGAAAACTGAGATTAACATCTGTGGGGACCCATTGCACTGACCACGTGACACCCTCTATCTGCTAAAGTTGGCACTAACTTTGGCAACAAGCGGCTGTCACTCAGTCGTGTAGCTCGCTTGCAGACTAAAGGCCACAGAGTTTGTTTTTTGTTTTGTTTGTATTGATAACATCATTTAAACGTTATATGGAGAATCAAACTTCCTCTGAGTTTCTCTGCAGTTGGCAGTTAATGGCACAGTACAGTCCTCTGGAACAATCCTGTCACAATCCCATGGAATAAGCGGAAGAACTTTCATGGAATTTGCACTGCTAAGTATTGTTAACAGAACAGAATGGCCATAGAGCAACTATGGTAATGGAAGAATGGAGACTGTTCAGTTTTCATGTTCTCTGCTGTCACAATGTTTTTTGTACAAGTTGCAGTAACCCAGAAATTATTGTACAAGTTTGGAGATTATATTATTACAATACTTGGGTTTAAGGTGAAAAAGAAACATCTCTTAAAGCCTCTGCTACTATGATGCTAATCCCATTTTCATATGATGCATGCTGTTCTCACAAATAAGTCACTGATCACAGACTGGTGACAGTGCAACACATTTGGTGTGGATGACCGCAAAGTTCTGTTTTAGTTTTAAAATTTGGCTGTAACATGTTTGATTTTGAGAGTTGTGGTTATCCACTGAAGTTAATTTAATTGTAAACCAATTAATCGGTTACTTTTTGTTCATTATTGTGTGTACATCGTATGTTTTAGAATGTGGGTGCACACGTTCTGTAACTGGTACACTCTGTTTTGAAGGGAATACGTAATCAGAAACTTGGCCGAAACTACAATTATGATGAAGAACTTGTGATTCCTATAATTGAAAATACCCCATGGGAAGCAGATCTGAAGGACAGGATGGCTCAAGTAATAGAAGAATATCCTCAGACCACAGCTGTTCTTGTCAGGCGCCATGGTGTTTATGTGTGGGGTGACACTTGGCAACAAGCCAAGACAATGTAAGGATTATATCATAGTCCTGTTAGATGTGATTATCTGTTGCACTATTTTTACAGCAGAGCCCTATAAGCCTTGTTTCACTATAGGTAATTAGCTATTTAATGTTACCATACATCTTTCATGTTTACTATTTACTGCATTCTTCATATCAATGTATATAGCATGAGGTTTTGTGTGTCAAAATTCACAAAAGTTTCATCCAAAAATCCATTCTGAAGGGGAAAACATGATTTTCCGGCCCCTGCATACAGTGGAACCCCCATTTAATGTTTCTCTGTTTAAGATTTTTCCTTGTTTAGTATTCAGATGTAATGATTCCAAGTCAGACTCAGTGTTAAATTATCTCCACTTATTATTTTCTTCAGTTTCATATTCAAATCTGCTGGGCCCCAAACAAACCTTAAATAGTACAAGTAGTTTCACTATACTGTACCAGTCAAAATATGTAATTTAGCCACAATCTTGCATAGCATTCAATCACAATCTATTTATAGTGATACTTTACATTGTTGTGGTGACCAGCCATTGGCTGGTAATTTAGCCATGATCTTGCATAGCATTCAGTCACAATCTATTTATAGTGATACTTTACATCATTATGGTGACCAGCCATTGGCTCTTATTGTTAAAAAACGTGTTTATCGCAAGTAGAATGTGGAAGGAATTCATTTTTTCTTCATTTCCAGTATTAGGTCCAATGCTTTTTTCATCTGGTATGTACTCTGGCAAACTCGTAAAAAGTCGCACATCTGCAAGTGCATTGTGTGTTTCCATCTTGAGGCCGAAAAAGAGCATGAGAGTGCTAGCAGACGTGTTTTTAGGTGGGGGGCTGATTAGACCTATTGTGACTTATTACAAAACAATTACTATAAAGAGGTCCTATCATCATTTCAGATGTCTTACAGAACTTCTCTTTTCTTTTGGAGTGGGTGTTCCCTCCCCACCCAATCCTGTCTATGTTGTTTTTATTTTTTTATAATGTGTTATTTGTGGGATCTGTAGTTCTGTCATTTCTTCGTTTCTTTTGTGGTTCAAAAAGGTGTATCTGCAGTCCTCACAACACATATTTTTGCCTATATCTATCTACTCTTACCAATTTTTGTTGTAAATGGTTCACTACCAGAAGATAATGTTTATACATCAAGTGTCTTATAAATTCATATTTTTGTAAGCCTAGAAATTGATGATAGTTTGAAAATCTGATTTACAATACCTGGTATTTTGACAAAATTACAGTTTTTACATTCACGTCCTTTTCTCTTTAATCGAGATATTTTACATCTCAAATTAAAAGTATTGTCACATGTTGGGTATGTCACACGACAAATAAATTCATGTGGGTCTCGGATTCAGTGAATCTTTATTGGACACTCACACTTATACACCATACAAGTATTGTCACTTGTGGTATTACGTGGCTTCTGCAATGTCTCGACTAGGTTCCAACTGTCTTGTATGAAGGCTAGATCACAACTGTAGTCGTAGCTCTGTCGCTTTCGACTTATGTAGGTGCTATGCGGATTGGATGCAAGACACCATTTGCCAAGGTTCGATCTCACTTGTTCGGCAATCCGTTGCTTCGGGAACGATGGAACGATCTCTATAGATTACGGCAGTAATGTGTTTCGTCTCATCCATTGGTACTCATCGGCCTTCTGTTGTTCATCTCCGGGGAAATGCATTCATTGTTTCGGCATTGTCTACGCAGTGGCCCACTGTTATTGCGTTGCCGTGGAAGTATCTACTCCAAACATGTTACAGTATAAATTAATTGCAGTATCCGATCATTAATGCATATCTTGTGTCTATCTATGAGGATTTTGGGGGGAGATTTATTTCCATGGAAAATTCTGGAGCTGTATTATCCAGACTGTACTCTGTATTTGCAGTTGGCATGATGGTTAATCCCAGTTGAAAGATAAATGCAAACAGGATGCAATTTTGTAAAATCACAGAATGCCTTCATGTTTGGCTGATAGCCTGTAAAACGCTTCTGTTAAATGTGATGTGACAGTCTCCATTTTTTTATTTTCTATATATATTATGAATAATAATGGTAAGAGCCTACAGCCTTGTCCCTGCTTGCATTTGGAATCATAAATGATTTGATTCTCTGGGATGATAAAGTTAATGTTAAAAAAAATTGTAAGTTTAAATAATGAATATTAGTGCTTAAGTTCTTGTTAAGGGTTGAAAAATTGTCACAAATGCCAAGAGTGGGACAATGTGTGCTTATATCTAATGTATTTGCATTGTCCTGTTTTCTTGCAGGTCTGAGTGTTATGACTACCTGTTTGATGTAGCAGTAAAAATGAAGCTGCATGGCTTGAATCCACAAGAGACTCCTGAACAGCATGAACTGAAAATTCAGAATGAAGCCAGTGTGCTTAAAAATTGTAAATCAGATCAATACTGACCACGCCAACTCAGACACACATAAATGAATGTTCATTTGATACTTTGATTGCTGCAGAGTTACAAGTAATAAAAGAGTTTCCAAGGATATTTTATGGAAAACTAAAACAATTATCTGTATTCTAATCACAATGTGTACACAGCATATTATGCCTTCAATTTACCCTGTATGCAGTGGTTCATTTCTCCATGAATTCCTGTTTTTCCTTTATATGTGAAAGTTCTGATTTAAAACAGTTAATGGTTTATGTTACGGTGCAAGGGTTATGTACAATCTGTATATTATACAGATTTAAAAAATTTCAAACTAAAGTACCTTGTTAAAGAATCTTGTTTTATTTTGGTATGGTGACAGTCAATGGACAGGAAAGTATTTCATGATGCAGATAAGTTAAACATGTTTGTATATGTGACATGTAATTTCCTCCCTTATATGGCCTATGGATGTGTGTAATATTGGCAGATGTCATACTCTAAAATCCTCATACAAATGTGCCCATGACTGGTTGGAATGCTTGCTTACTGGCAGAATGGAAAGTAAGCTTTTTGCTCTAGAAGGCGTCTCATGGTTACAGCATGTACAGTTGGTGTCATTTCACAATTTTTTGCTGTAATAGATAAACCAGTACATATATAAATAACAAGTCATTTACTCTGAATGTAATATTTTGTTTCAGAATAACTGCAGCTTTCATGGAAACTGATTATTCTCATACCTGTTTTTCAGTCATCTTAATTGTTTACAGTAGAGTGTGTCTTAACAGCATCATTTCATTCTCTTCAGATTACAGGTTTTCCAAATTATGTGAGCTGGGGTAGTGTAGCTGTTATAGCAACTGGCTATGGGTTGGATGACTGAGCAGTTGGAATTTGAGTCCCAGCAGGGTCAAGAAATTTCTCTTCTCCATGTCGTCCAGACCAGCTCTGGGGTCTATCCAGCCTCCTATACAATAGGTACCGGGGTCTCTTTCCCTGGGGGTTATGTGGCTGGGACGTGAAGCTGACCACTGACCTCCAGCTAGTGCCAAGGTCAAGAAA